TTTTTAATATTTATTTTTTAGTTCTCAGCAGACACAACATCTTTGTTGGTATGTGGTGCTGAGGATCGAACCCAGGCCGCACGCATGCCAGGAGAGCGCACTTCTGCTTGAGCCACATCCCCAGCCCGAACTCCTTGCTCTTGAACATCATTGTCTGCTAAGGTAAGCCCCTGTCTCTACTCACTCAAGAATTTGTCTCAGAATTTTCCTCCACTCCTCTCTGGTGGCCCCATGTTGTTTTTCAGTCCTGACCCTCCTGCTCAGCTATGGCTAGTCCTTGCTAGCCTGGTTCATAACAGTCATTTCCTCTTAACCATGGGCCCATCCTTCGTCCCACTCCTTCCCACTCATGTTATTTTCTACCATGCATCATGTCCCCAAAGCACATACCCGAATGTACCATGCTCCTATTTATATAGTTATGGTGTGTCTCCCCCACCCAGTCACTCTTAACCAAGCCCAAACTCCCTGCTTGCAAAGTCAAGGGCCTCTATCAGCCCAGGTCCAGCTACCTCCAGTTCCATTGTTCACCATGCATTCCTCACAGACCCTAGGCTCCAGCCAAATCATATTCTCACCATCTGGGGACATATGTTCCCTCTGCCCAAAATAGCATACCCCTATCTCCACCTGTTGAAATCCATCCTTGAAGGATTATTCAATAAATAGTACTAGGACAATTGGTTACTCATTTGAAGGAATTTTTTTAGATTCTTCACTTCGTGCTACACATCAAAATGTATCCCAGATGAACTGGAGTTAAATATAAAACTATAATTACATATATTCAAAATAAAATCATAGAAAGTCTCAAAAATGTGGGACTGGGGCTGTAGCTCAGCAATTGAGTGCTTGCCTCACACATGCGAGGCACTGAGTTTGATCATCAGCACCACATTAAAAAAATAAATATATTTTTAAAAAGTCTCTTAGTGGCTGGGGTGTGGCTCAGCGGTAAAATGCTTGCCTCCGAGGTGTGAGGTACTGGGTTTGATTCTCAGCACCACATAAAAGTAAATCAACAAAATAAAGATACTGTGTCCATATACAATTAAAAATATATATATTTTAAAAAGTCTCAAAATGTGATTATTAAATATCTGAAAGGGGAGAAAATGCTAGGCTTTTATCAAAGAATAAAATTTCAAAAAAAACAGATCTGACTCACTAAATAGAACTTGACTCATTAAAACCAAACTGATAGGCTGGGGTTGTGGCTCAGTTGTAGAGTGCTTGCCTAGCATGTGTGAAGCATTGGGTTCGATTCTCAGCACCACATATAAATAAATAAAATAAAGGTCCATTAACAATTTAAAAAATATTTTAAAAAACCAAACTGATAAAAAATGAACAGAAAGGTAGAGTCATTTGCTTGAACTGAATGTTGGGGTCTCTGATGCAGGGAAATCAGAAATCAGAAAGTGGTTTGGTTAGCAAGTTATAGGAGTTGGGTGCGTATCTTTCATGAATGTCCAGTGATACTTGACATTGCATTCCTTCCCTAAGAATTTGAAATGTTAAAATCCTCTCCAAGGGTAGATATGTCCAAGACCCAAATTTGACTCTTCTTCTTCTAGAAGCTTGACATTAAACCCACCCTGTCTGCTGAAGGATCTCAATCTGATCTCCATACTTACCCTTTTCTGAACTCACTCTTGGGTCCACTTATTAAGTACTCAATATAATTTAGGTATTATGCTAAACATTTTCAAGGATTATGTCTGACAATCCTACAAGGTATTTTCTTAAATGTAGATCTCCTGAATATCCTCTTTAATTTTTTCTTTTCCAAAACCAGTAATTACTTTATAGACGTATAATCTAAAATAAGCTGTATATATCTGTGACTTTTTGTGTGTGTGTGTGTGTGTGTGTGTGTGTGTGTGTACATATTCTTATATAAGGCTTCCAAGAAGAAATAAACTGGAGAAAGAAATTTGACATTCCAAAGATGCATCAAAGCAGCACATTTTAGCAGAGCAGTCTAGCAGAGCAGCTTCAGAATCTCAGACCAGCCCACCCCCACTAGGTGTGTGTGTGTGTATATATATGTTTATACATTATTTTCTAATTTTTAAAAGTCATACAGTATGTTTTCTATGGATACACTTTTATTTTCCCTGGGTAAATACTTGGCAGTGGAACAATTAGGCCTTATGGTAAGTATGTTCATAATTAACTGCCTAAACAATGTATCCAAGTATCAAAACATCACATGGTACCCTATACATAGGACTATTACTATGTGCTAGTTAAAATTATTAAAAAACAACCTACTAAACTGTTTTCCAAAATGTCACTTTACATTCCCACCAGCAGTGTGAGAATTCCAGTTTCTCCACATCTTTGCCAACATTTGATTGTCAGTCTTTTTAAATTTTAGCCACTCTATCGTGTGTTTAGCGATATTTAATTATGATTTTAATTTACATTTCCCTAAGGATTAGTGATGCCAAGCATTGTTTCATTGTTCTTATCAACTACTGTATATCTTCAGTGGCAAAATGTCTGTTAAAATATTTTGCCTATGTTTTTATATTGTGTCGTCTTGTTCATAAGTTCTAAATGTTCTTTATATCTTCTGGTCACAGTCCTTTGTCGGTTATTATTTGTTAATAACTACATTTAAGGATGAGGAAATTCTGGCTTGGGAAAATTAATAACTGGTCAATGTCACCCAGATTCAAATCCGGACAGTGAGACTGCAATGCTTATTTTTCTTTGCCTACACTTCTTTGACACTATTTAAATGGAGCCTCTTTTTATTCTTTTTTGCACCTTAAAGCAAAAGGTCGCATCAAAGTTATTCACATCTATTGATAATGAAATTAAAGCCTAGCAAGGTTGATTTCCTTAACCCTTTAAAATGACTAGTAAGTGCATGGACAAGAAGAGCTTGTTTATTTAACTATGGATTAAAAAATCTCACGTCATTCAACTACCTTCTATATTTTACCCACAATCTTTCCAAATTGTGAATCTGATCACATATGAGATCTCTAGGCTTGGGTGTGCACTACAGAGGGCCTTCCTTGAGCTATCATAACCTCCAATGTCACCTACGGTCACTCCACAGACCCAAACTCCCCCCACCCCAGCTGTCCTCAGCTCCCAGCGCTGACTCTGTGTCCCTATGTACTCCTTCCCGTCTGCTAGGTAAGCTCTTCTCCAACCCCCGGGCCACTACAGCTTGTCCTTCAGTCTCGTGTCCTGACTCCTCTTAAGACTCACAGACCCATCAGCCCCCACTTCTGGCTGCTTCAAAGTACGTTTCAGCCCGGCTGCCGTAGAGCTCCAAAAACAGGGCTGCGTCCCGTCCACAGTGCAGCGGGACGTGGGGGCGGGAGCTGAAGGTGCCGGTAGGGCGAAGGGATAAGGACTTTATTCAGGTGTAACAAGAGAACGCGCCACAAGCACTAGGGCACAGAGGTAACTGGCCATTTACTCAGAGGCCAGCAAGGCCCACCCTCACCGAGCCTCCCGCCTGGCGCAGCACGT